CCGCCCCTCTCGTGTCCCATTTGCCCTTGCCACGCTGGACGTGACAGACTCCCACATGGGATGGTGGACTACGCCCCACCCCTGCAACTAGATTGAAAGCGGCAACTGGACTTAAAGCTGACGGGTCCTGGAAAAACACAATGTTCCCCTTCCCCAATTCCCTAACACTGTTCCCCTCCCCAATTCCCCAAGAAAAAAATCTTAAAAAAAAGTGTACCATAAATTATCCTCTATCATGACAAAGCTCTGTGTTGCACATTGCTTCTGGTATACGGCAATTTCCGTCAAATAAAAACATTACGATGTGTCCTCATCCACGTTATTCACCGGATCTGACACTGTGATTTCTGGCTCTTCCCCAAAGTCAAAATGATTCAGGACATCGAGGCAGTCACGACAATGCAACTAAAGACACTCACAAAAGAGGACTTCCAAAACTGCTTCAGAAAGTGGCAAGAACGATGGGAAAAGTGTGTTCAAAGCGAGGGGGAGTATTCTGAGGGGGATTAATAGCAGTATGTCCTTTACTGTCATACATTTTTTTTTTAATAGTAAAGTTTTTTGTTTTTTTTCAAAGATTTTTACTGGGGAATTGGGGGATGGGATCAGCGCTGGGGAGTTGGGGGAAGGAGAACAGACAAGTTGCTGTCCTTTTGTTCTTCAGTCTAGTTGTGGAGGACGTTGCTTCACTGGCCCAAGTTGGCACCCTCATTGCGCTCTTCCCAGCAGAGGCAGATCAGTCGCCGGCTTCTGGACGGCTGCTCACTGCGGCTGCTGGCCGCTCACGCTGGCTGCTGGCTACACACGGTAGCCCATGGCAACCCACTGCCACAGGGGCTGCAGCCTACGCCATCGCCGGCGACTCACACAGCCCAGCTCCAGGTTGAGCTGTTGTTCAGCATCTTAGCTGTGGAGGGCAGTGTCACTGGCCTTCATACACGGGATCTGAACCGGGGCCCTCTGGCGTCCCAAGCCAGCTCTTAACCAACGTGCCACTCAGCCGGCCCCAAAATTTTGTTTATTTAAGCATTCACTGTATTGTTTTATTATACCTCGTACATTCCAACTGGTTTGGGATTTTTGCTATTTTTCACCTCACTCTTCACAGTCCAGGGCTCTTTGCCTTCCACCAAAATGGAGTTAATAATCAGATCAGATAGACATTCCTAATCTTAAGAAAGGAATGTGGGGCCGGCTGAGTGGCGCATTGGTTAAGAACTGGCTTGGGACGCCAGAGGGCCCTGGTTCAGATCCCATATATGAGGGCCAGTGACACTGTTCTCTACAGCTAAGATGCTGAACAACAGCTCAACCTGGAGCTGGGCTGCCGTGAGTTGTTGGCGACGGCGTTGGCTGCAGCCCCTGCTGCAGTGGGCTGCCATGGGCTACCGTGTGTAGCCAGCAGCCAGTGTGAGTGGCCAACAACTGCCATGAGCGGCCGTCCAGAAGCCGGCGACTGATCTGCCTCACCTGGGAAAAGCACAATGATGGTGCCAACTAGGGCCAGTGAAGCAATGTCCTCCACAACTAGACTGAAGAATTAAAGGACAGCAACTTATCTGTTCCCCTTTCCCCAATCCCCCAGCGCTGTTCCCATCCGCCAATACCCCAATAAAAAAAAAAACTAAAAAAAAAAAGAAAAAAAGAAAGGAATGTGAAGTGCAGTGGCTTTTCCAGACACCCTGCTGTTTCTTCAGCTGAGAAAGGAGGACATTACAGATGGGTCTAGAAAAGTATTTCACAAATCCATCCATTACTTGCCTCCTTCTATGCATAGGGACCAGTGTAATATGTAGATACCCAGCTCTCTTTCAGGAACTACTGAACCAGAAGCACAGGGAGAGAAATCAGAACACTGGGTATTTTTAAATATGCCATAGGGATTTATAAATACTTAAGCTCTGGAACATTCCCAATGTATCATGAAATGGGCCATCATTTGACAAAAAAGCAAGTTTAAAGTCCTGATCCAAATAATAATGAAGCTATTAATTTCTGAGTAAACAGGGGTTTGATCTCAGTCAAGAGAACTCTAGATTTTGACTGAAGTCAAACCATAAGCGCTCCCAAGAGGCGCACAAGGAAAAATGTAACAATATCCAAGGCAGATCCCAACTTCTGGAGGGAAGTTATCCTCACCCAGGGAGAGCAGGTTCCTGTAGTTCTCCAACATCACGTCCATGTACAGTTTCCGCTGAGCTGGGTCCAGGCACTCCCACTCCTCCTCAGAGAACTCTATGAACACATCCTTGAACGTCAACCGTCCCTGAAATGAAAAACACATTTCACCAAAGGAGCCACGAAGAGAATTTTTAACTCCACACAATATAAGGAGAGAGGTATAAGAATTGATGTGGTTGAAGTGTGTTTTTTCTGATAGATACACGTAAAGGAATTTGGAACAAGTTGTGTATCTCTAATTTTAATTTCTCATGATTTTCCTTAAGAAATTATGATATCCTTCAAATCAATGTGGATATCTTACTTCTGTGCATAATACATGAATTATACAAATAAAAATTCAATACCCAGTTGTCTATGCACAAGTGTTAGATGTTATGTTCTACCCATTGAGTGATATTCAGTGTCTAGCATGATTGGTATCTTCAGAGATGTCAAAGTTCACAGTGCCATTAAAGAAAGGTCAGAAAAATTTCCTCTGAGTTCACAAGAAACAAACATCTGTTTCCCCTTAGAACTCTCCCACTTTGGGAGAGTTTCCCAAACACTGTTAATGGCATGGCTTCCTCTCTCCCTTTCTGAGCTCTTACCTCTGTTGGCACCTTTGACACATTCCAACTGATTTGGGCTTTTTGCTATTTTTCACCTCACCCTTCACAGTCCAGGGTTTGCCTTCCTCCAAAATAGAGATAATAATCAGATCAGACAGAAAGGTCAAACTGTAATGATAACAGCAATAGCAATGAGTAAAATTTTTTTTTTAATTTTAGATTTTATTGCAGAATTGGAGAAGGGGAACAGTGTTGGGGAATTGGGGAGGGGGACCAGCCGAGTTTTGTTTTTCAATCTTAGTTATCGAGGGTGCCAGTCACCATGGGGCTGCCTATCAGAAGCTCATGGCCTCTAAGCTCAAGGTGCTGTGTTCAATCTTAGTTACGGGTGGGCATAGCCACCATCCCATGCGGGAGTTGAACCAGCAGCCTTGTTGTTAAGAGTGCACGCTCTCGGGCCGGCCAAGTGGCGCACTGGTTAGGAGTTGGCTTGGGATGCCAGCTCTAAGCAGCAGGGCCTTGGTTTGGATCCCACATATGAGGGCCAGTGACAATGCACCCTCTACAGCTAAGACAGTGAACAACAGCTCAACCTGGAGCTGGGCTGCTGTGAGGTGATGGTGTAGGCTGCAGTGGGGCTGGCAGGCAGCGGGTGTGAGCTTTCGTGAGCTGCCATGAGCTGCCATCCAATGGCTGGTGAGGGACTGCCTCACCTGGGAAGAGCGCAATGATAATACCAACATGAGCCAGTTAAGTGACATCCTCCACAACTAGATTGAAGAACAAAAGGACAGCAACTTGTCTGTTCCCTTTCCCTGATTCCCCAACACTGTTCCCCTCCCCCAATTCCCCAATAAAATCTTAAAAAAAAAAAAGAGTGCACGCTCTTATCTACTGAGCCATCCAGGTGGCAGCTCAGCTCAAGGTGCCGAGTTCAGCCTTAGTTGCAGTCAGGCGTAGCCCACCATCAAACAGGCAACCTTGTTGTTAGGAGCACGTGCTCTCACTAGCTGAGCCATCCTGTCACCTGTTGGCAGCTTAGAGGCAGCTCAGCTCAGGCGCAGCATCACTGGCCCATATGGGAATCGACCCAGTGGCCCTGTTTCTCAGAGCTCTCGCTCTTAAGCTAACTCTTAACCAACACGCCACTCGGCCGGCCCAGTAGCACAGTTTTAATTATGGATACAACCATCAAACAGGAGATAAGAAGGATACACAGGACTTGAACAACACTATAGACGAATCAGACCTAACACATATATGGAATACTCCACCCAACAACAGCAGAAAACACATTCTTCTCAAGCACATTGGAATATTCTCTATTATAGACGTTAGGCCACAAAAAAAATCTTAACAATTTTTTAAAAATTGAAATCATAAAAAGCATTCTTCTCTAACTATAATGAAATGAAACTAGGAAGAAGTGGCAGAACAAAAACAGAAAAATCCACAAAATGTGGAAATTAAACAAATATTTTTATACAATCAGTAGGTCAAAAAAGAAATCACAAAGGAATTTTTATAATGTCTGGGTATAACTGAAAATACGAAACATCAAAATGTATGGCACGGCCGGTTAGCTTAGTTGGTTGAGCGCAGTGCTCATAACACCAAGGTTGCAGGTTCAATCCCTGCATCGGCCACTGAGCTGTGCCCTCCACAACTAAATTGAAACAACTACTTGACTTTGAACTGATGGGTCCTGGAAAACACACTATTCAAAAAAAAAAAAGTATGGGATGCAGTGAAAGCAGCACTAACATGAACATTTACTGTGGTATACGCTTACATTTAAAAAAAGCAAAGAGGCCGGCCTAGTGACTCAGTTGGTTAAGAGCTCGCTCAAGAGTGCAAGCTCTGAGCAACAGCGGTTCGAGTCCCAGCCCGAGCTGAGCTGAGCTGCCAACATGTGGCAGGATGGCTCAGCTAAAAAAAAAACAAAAACAAAAAGCAAAGAGCTCAAATAAGAACTATATTTTATACCTCAAGGTAATTGAAAAATAAGAAAAAAGTAAATCCAAATTTGCCTGAAGGAAATAAATAGAAATATCAGAACAGAGATAAATGAAACAGGAAAAAAAATCAGCAAAAGAGTTGGTTTTTTGAAAAATTAACAAATTGACAAACTCTTAGGTAGACTAAGAAAATAAGACGATTTCACAACTAAAATCAGAAATATAAGAGGGGACATTACAACTGATGTCACAGAAAACTTTTAATAGGGTAAAAATAAGTATGAACATCAAAATTACAAGTAAAAAAAAATTATGTAACTTAGAAAACATGGATAAATTTCCAGAAACATACAACCTTCTAAGAGCTAATCATTAAGAATTAAAAAATGTAAATGGAATTAAAACTACCGAAATGCAAGCAGTAATTAAATACTTCCAACAAAGAGGCCAGCCGAGTGGCTCATTTGGTTAAGAGCTTGCTCAAGAGTTTGAGCTCTGAGCAACAGTGGTTTGATTCCGGCCCGAGCTGAGCAGCCGCTGAGCTGTTGGCAGGATGGCTCAGCTTAAAAAACAAAAACAAAAACAAAAACAAAAACAAAGAAAAACTCAGGACAAGGTGGTTTCACTGCAGAAGTCTCCCAAACATTTATGGAAGAATACAACACTAATCCTGCTAAAAATATTCCAAAGAACTTAAGAGGGAACACTTGCAAACTCATTCTATGGCTCCTGCATGATTCTATACCAAACCTAGAGAAACACACAAGAAATCTACACACCAATACCCCTCATCAACATTAATGAAAAACCTCTTAACAAAATACTAGCAAACCAAATTCACCAGCACAGTAAAATAATTATATATCATCATCAAACAGAATTTATTCCTGTTAAGCAAGGATAAATAAACATACAAAAATTATTCAATGCAATATACTACATTAATAGAATGAAGGAAAAAAACATGATCATCTCAATTGATGTAGAAAAATCTTTTGACAAAATTCAACATTTCAAGATAAAAACACTCAATAAACTGGGCATAGTAAACTACTTCAACACAATAAAAGCCATATATGAAAAGCACACAGCTGGGCTGGCTGAGTGGCTCAGTTGGTTAAGAGTTGGCTTGGGAAGGCGAGCTCTGAGCAGCAGGGCTGCCGGTTTGGTTCCCACATGAACCACTGACACTGCACCCTCTACAGCTAAGATGGTGAACAACAGCTCAATCTGGAGATGGGCTGCCATGAGTGGCAGGCGACAGTGTAGGCTGCAGTGGGCTGCCGTGAGCGGCAGGCAGCCGGTGTGAGCCACCGTTGAGTGTCCGTCCAATGGCCGGCGACCGACTGCCTCAGCTGGGAAGAGCACAATGATAATAACGACATGGGCCAGTGAAAAGACGTCCTCCACAACTAGACTGAAGAACAAAAGGACAGCAACTTGTCTGTTCCCCTCCCCTAATTCCCCAATAAAATCTCTAAAAAACAAAAAAGAAAAGAAAAGCACACAGCTGACATCACATTCAATGGTGAAAAACTGAAAGTTTTCCTCTATGTTCAGGAAGGAGGCAAAGATGCACTCTCTCCAAACTATTATTATTCAACGAAGTACTGCAAGTCCTAGGCATAGTGATTAGACAAGAAAAAGAAAAAAAAAGTCATCTCAATTGGAAAAGAAGAGAAATTATCTTTTTTTGCAGATGTTAAGATCTTATATGTACAAAACCATAAAGATCCTCAAGAAAGCTGTTACCAAAAAAAAAAAAAACAATTTTAGAAAATTTGCAGGATTCAAAATCTACACACAAAAATCAGATGCATTTCTACACACTGACAAGGAATAATTGGAAAAAGGAAAGTAAGAAAACAATGCTATTTACCATAGCATCAAAAAGGGTGAAATACTTAGGAATAAACTTTGGAAAGGAGGTGGAAGACTTCTACACTGAAAACTAGAAAACATTGCTAAAAAAAAAAAAATCAAAGATACAAATAAATAGTAAATATCTTGTACTCATGCATTGGAAGACTTAATATTGTTAAAAAGTTGATAAAGTGTTCTATAGATTCAATGCAATCCCTATCAAAATCCCAAAGGCAATTTCTGCAGAAATAGGAAAAAAACCACGCTAAAACACATATGGAACGTCAAGCGACTCCAAGTAGACAAAACACTCTTGAAAAAGAAGAAAGTTGAAATCTCACAAAGCAAGAGTAATCAGGTTGGTGTGATCCTGGCATTAATCCAGATCCATAAACCCATGGAACAAAGAGAAAGTTTAGAAATAAAACCCCTGCGTATATGCCAAATGATTTTTGACAATGACACTAAGACTACACAAGGGGAAAGGACAGCTTCTTCAACAAATGGTGCTGGAAAAATTGGATATCTACATGCAAAAGAATGAAGCCAGAACCTTAACCACATCAAACATAAAGCCTTCTTTGTGTCAAAAGATACAATCCACAGAGTGAAAATGCAACCTCTGAGAAAGGGATGTGATAAAAATGATTTAAAGAATCGCCAGCTGTCAGACATTTCGGTTGATTTCATATTTTAAAATTGATGACAGAATAAAATAGCCTCAGTCACTGATGCCTGTTCGTGAACTTTCCAGTCCATTGACCATTATTAAGATTTTGAAGTTAGTGACTAGTCACTCATTTAGTTTCAGATGTATTACAAAAACAATCAGAAAGATTTCTACTTATTGGTCCCTTTTCCAGAACTTATCAGGTATTTGTATGTATCAATACATGACTTCCATGTGCATCTTTTTATCCTGGTTGACAGGGAGGTGACAGATGTGGCCCCTAAATAACCCCTGTTGCCCAAATACACAGTTGCCACAGGGCCCACACTCCATCTCCAATCCAAGGGCATGAAGCCCTGACCAGGATGAGGCCCAGTGGAGCCTCATCACAAGTTCGATGTCACCAGGTCCCATGGGATGAGAGGGACTGAAGGAAGGCCCAGGTTGAATGAACAAACAAGTGTCAGGCAGAATATTGCAGGTCAGAAGATCAGCAAGTCAAAGAAGAGCATTTCAGGAAGGACAGACACAACTATCAACCGAGAATATGACTACCTGAGAAACAGCCATTCCTGACCCCTCTTTCTTTCCTCTGCCTCCTCTGCAGGGCTTCTTCCTCAGGCAAGAGTCTTTAGAAGTCAATCTGGAAAGTTAAAAAGAGACTGTTTGTCAACGTATCAACCACACACAGGGGAGACCCACAGGGGAGACCTCGGCATGCGGAAAACACAGTGTCTGCTGCCCCTGCCACAGGAGGGATTCACAGACAGTAAGCTCCTACTCAGAAGCCAACAAGTGAGTTTTCCGCCTGTTTCTTCAGAACACGCTCCCCTCCTGGTGGAGCCCTCACATACACTGCCGCAGTGGGGACCTCGGCTGACTCCACACTCCTTTAGGTCACTGCCCGGATCAAACCCCATGCAGAGCTGACCCCCACTCACCCTCACCCCAGACCTCAACCCTCAGAAATGGAGGACACAGAGCCTCGCTGCTCACTGATGGATACAGATTAGAATCACCTGAAGCACTTTAAATATCATGGAGGCTGGCCCCACCCCAATATTTGAATGAGACTTTCTGGTCAGGGGGCACAAGGGATGTCACTGCAAAATGCCTCAGCAATCTAATGTGAAGCGGGATTCAGGACCACCTCCCACCTGCTTGTTCTTTTCCACTTTCACTGAGGCATAATCGACAAATACAAGTTGTGTATATTTAGGGAGAACAACATGGCCACTTGAAATAATTATCACAGTCAATTTAATTAACACATCCCTCAAATCACAGTTACCATTTTTGTGTCTGTGTGGTCAGAACACTTTGGGTTTCTCTCTCAGCACATTTCAAGTATGCAACACAGTGTGATTAACTATAGCCACTATGCTGTATATTAGATAACCAGAACTGATTCATTTTACAACTGAAAGTGTGTACTTTGTGACCAATCTCTCCCCATTTTACCACCTCCCAGCCCCTGGTAAACACCACTCTCCTCTCTGGTTCTGAGTCTGACTTTTCTAGATTCCACATACAGCAAGATCATACAATATTTGTCTTTCTCTGCCTGGCTTACTTCACTTAAAAAAATATTCTCCAGGTTCAACCATGTTGTCGTAAATGGCAGGATTTCCTTCATTTTTATTTATTTTATTTTTTATCTTTTTATTGGGGAATTGGGGGGATGGGAACAGTGCTGGGGAACTGAGGGAAGGGGAACAGACAAGTTGCTGCATTTTGGTCTTCAGTCTAGTTGTGGATTCCTTCATTTTTATGAATGAGTAATAATTCATCATAGATAGATAGATAGACCTCCTTTTCTTTACCCATTCATGTGTCAAAAGTCATTTAGGCTTTTTTCCACATCTTGGCTGTTGTGAATAACGCAGTAATGCTCGGGGAGTGCAGATATCTCTTCAAAATATGTTTCATTTCCTTTGGGTACATACCCAGATGTGGATCCCCCCCTTTCATCACTACTATTCGTATCCCTCTCTCCTTTTCTATATCTGTATCTTTTTCTTGTTTTCTATTCTGCTCATTTTGTCCCCCTCTCCTGTTTTTCCCCTTCTCTCACACGTGCCCTCCCCCACTAACTTCTATCCCCTTGTTGCTCTTTCTCCCCAACTTTTCTGATCATCTCCAATCTTGATGTATATCACCACTTTCTTCCCCCATTTTGGCTCCCTCTCTGTTGTTACATTCCTTCTTCTCTGTCACACTCCCTTCCTCCCCCATCTATGGCATCCTCAGGTGCCTAGACTTCTTTCCTGCCATTTCTTCCTGTTCTGATGACCCTTTCTCCTATTTCCAGTAACAGGTACCATGTGGCTCTGTGGCCCATAAATCCAATTCTTTTAACCTGTTGTCCCACTGTGTCCGAAGTGCCTCACTATTGTTGCCCCAGCTCCTACCACCTACCAAAGGCCCCTCTCCTGTTTGCTCATCTTCATGTTCTTGGAGATCCTGCTTTTCTCTAAACTTCTATTTTCTCCCCCTGCTACTTTCACAGCTTATTCTCTTCCACTCTTACTGTCTCTTTGCAAATCCTCACTCATTCTTTACATTGCCATCTGTTCTCCCTCATTCTTCTCTTTTCAGTTTACCGATTTCTTTCTCAGTCGCTGTTTTCTGACCCCCTGGCCTGCACATTCAGGAGTGGGATGGAATACGATGCTTGTAAGCTTTTACCTTGAAACTTTTAAAGCTACTAACCCGAAATAGGCAGGAAACAATGCTGCTGCACAAGACAGAAAGACACTCGAGCCTCCACGAAAAGCACATTTTCCACAGGGGTGGAATTTGGGATGGAAGAATATCGGGTGCCATAAATCAGGCCCAGGTCACCTTCCCCAAAGCGGGGTCAGGGGAAGGGTGACTACGAAGGGAAGGCCTGGGGAACAGAAGGATCGGCCTGAGGACGCCTGCAGATGCGGCGGGGAGCGGGGGGAGTCTCCAGAAACCCAGGGCCAGGAAGAGGATGCGGCCTCTCCTGGGGCGGGGTGACCGGCGCAACCCAGAGGGGCCTAGAGGGCGAGGTTGGAGGCCGCGAATCCACCTGCCAACGGGTTTTAACGGCGCAGGCGGAACAGAGAGGTCGGCAAAGGGATTTAGGAAAGAACGAGTCGAAACGCTGTGTCTACGTGGATCAAAGACAGAAAAGCCGAGTGTAGGGAGCAGCCTCAGAGCCATTTTAAACCCAAAGGGAAGGGCTCCGGGCCTGACACAGCGACGTGTGAATTTACTTGGGGGAGAGGGGCGGATGCGAGGATTTTAAGATCCGCGGCAACCCCAGACGCCAGTACTGAGATGGGGGACGCGAGCCCATATTGAAAATAGAAAGCCGGACACTTACTTCCCACACTGCGCCCTGCGGTCTGCCTTCTCCGCTTCCGGGTCTGTGGGGAACTGCGCGCGCCGAGAGAAGAGGCGGGGCGGCTTGGGGGCGGGGCCTGTACCGAGGGCGACCCTTAGGGGACGGGACGTGGAGAGAGGTCGGTCCTGCGCAAGGGGCCGCGCGGGGGCGGCGAGATAATGTCCCGGCGGCGGAGCCGGGCGGGGCCTGCTAGCTCCTCCATGTATCTCCCAAGGTGTTTCTTCCGGGTTTAGAAATCCTGCTGTGTTTCTCGTCTCGTTCAACTGCCTATTGTTGCTTCCTGCCTTTTTAAAATTACTAGCTGTAACAGTTTTAAGGTAAAAACTTGCAGTTGTGTGGCTGCTTATGTTGTCAACTAAGGTGTTTTACTCAGATGTAAAAGGTTTAAATGAAAAGCTGTATTTCCCTGCGGGTTGCACCTAAATCCTGTGGATGAGGCTGAAGCAACTCAGCGGAAGCTGGGATCCGCAGTGAGGGGGGTTGGGGGGGGTAGGGTCCGCTGATTGGGTCCAGGGACACTTCTGCAATTAGAATTAATTTAAGCAGTTTAAACAAGTGGAATTTGTGTAGGGATTACAAACTAGAATGTGAAATAGAAAATTCTTATACCGGGTGGCATAGGCCATTTCATACTGACACCCAAGAGAACAGCATTTCTGTTTTTATCCCAATTCACGCCTGAGGCCAAGACTCAGCACTTTGCAGTACCAGAGACTTTCATGGGGACATGACCTGGGGTATGAGGTGTGGAGGACTATGCCAGGTGATAATTTAGGTCACTAAACATTGCTTTAAAAAAGAAAGAACTTTTTAAAAATTGTTGTAAATTGCATTGTTTTCTTATAATTCTTATTCTATTTCACACTTGAGATAAGTTACTTTCAAATACCTTTCAGATATACTTGTTCAAATCATAATGAAGCAGGATTTTTGATGTGTGTACGCCAGGATCGTGGTCTCCAGCACTGAAGAATGGAGACACGGACCAGAGAGAGAAAGCTTGCAGCTGAGGATAGTTTATTAGAGCAGAAAGAGTTACAGCTCTCAAAGTGAGAGGGGGGCACCGGAAACTGAAATGCCCGCTAGTTAGAGCAAAGGATTTGTTTTTATACCTTTTGTATGTCTGGGAAGAAGGGCTGGCTAGCTCCTTTTGGCACTATGATCAGATTTATGCAGCCTGGAGGGGGCTTTTGTCCAAACAGCCTGGTTGTCTCAGAGCTTAATTGGTGCTTTAGCTCCGCAAGGTGTGTTATCTCCAGGCTGGGCTCTCAAGGCCAAGACTGAGGCTTGTCCCAGAGCATAATTGATGCTTCTCCTTTGGCAGGAAAGTTATCTTAAAGCTGGGACTTTCAAGGCTGCAGCTGAGGCTTTGAAGATATCTTTATTTTCTGCTCATTTTACCAGGGAATTCCTAACTTTTTTGTTATAGGCTTGAAAAAAAGCTTTTCCTCCTCCCCCACCTGAGTTTGTCACTCTGGCGGGTCCTGTGACTTAAACCTATCTGTCAGCTATTAAAATTATTTCCTTGTCTCTGTTATGGTTTTCACCCTGATTTCCTCTACTGTGGCAATTTCCCTGACTGTCTATAATTTTTCCTATCTCAATAATATACTTAAGTCAATAATATCTGAATTGAATGTAATTTCTAATTCACTATCTGTTCATTCTGAGAGTAATTAGAAAGTTTATTTTAAAACGAATGCATTTAGCTCTTCTAATTTTTCTATTTCTGAATGTTCTGTCAGGTGTGGATAACAAAATCTGTAAAACACATAGTTTTTCAGAAGACATTGGGATCCATTTTCACCTAAAAATCATCAATTTTGCAATATTTCTCTGGGCATTTAGTAGGGAGTTATATTGTCTTCAATATGAACCCTAAAGGAAGTAAAAGTAGGTGATCCAATAACAAACAACATCATGTCTACCCTCAATATTTTTATGGCAACATCCCTTAGTTAATATCAACTATGTATAAAGTATATTTATTCACATTCCGATGTGTGGAAGGTTTCGTCCATAGAGAAATGGCAATCAACTGAAATATTATGTTTAGATAGGGAAGTTAATATATTTAACATATTTTCAGGTAAAAATGAGAAGAAAGTGCTGGTATCACCCAAAGATGAATACAAGAAGATACATTAGGACATTTCTAAAATATGCAGTGAATGGGATGGGTTTTGGAGATCTTTAGAAGGTAGGTTATTTTGTTTTATGCAGTATTCCTAACTAGCCGTTTTGGTAAGAAAGAAGTTTTAGCATTGACTTTCATGATTCCAAGCAAGGAAATGAGTTGATAATGCAACTTTCCGTTGAACACAGAACAGTAGAGGAGAGGCTGATTGTAGACAAAAGTTATCAATCCGTTTTTTTGTTGTTGTTTTTTAAGATTTCATTGGGGTATTGGGAGAGGGGAACAGCCAAGTTGTCCTTCAATGTTCGCTATGGAGGGCGCAGCAAGGTCCAGTTGCGCTGCTCAGTTCAAGGTGCTGTGTTCAATTAGCTGCGGCTGGGCATACCCACCATCCCATGCAGGAGTCGAACCAGCAGCCTCATTGTTAAGAGCGCACGCTGTATCCACTGAGCCATCTGGGCAGCAGCTCAGCTCAAGGTGCCAAGTTCAGTCTTAGTTTCAGGTGGGCGTAGCCCACCATTCAAACCAGCAGCCTTGTTGTTAGGAGCACGTGCTCTCACCAGCTGAGCCATTCTGCCACCTGTTGGCAGCTCAGCAGCAGCTCAGCTAGGGCACAGCATCACAGGCCCATGTGGGAATTGAACCGGTGACCCTGTTGCTCAGAGCTTGCACTCTTGGGCAAGCTCTTAACCAACTGAGCCACTTGGCTGGCCCTCAATCCATTTTGTTATGGGGAGTTTTGTTGCTTGTACAGTTTTCAGAGCAGCAAAATGGGCATATTCACAAGAATAATAGAAGGATGCACTCTCAGTCACAGGAATATTTTGATATATATCTCTTTGTAATATAATTATGAAACAGATGCAAATTATTAATGATTCAAAAATGTGTAAACACAGGAACTAGTGTCACCTGTGTATATGTTTTAAACCTGTGCTGGAAAAATAAAGACTATCAATTTTTGAACCCAGATGGAACAACTGAAATATTTACCACTGTCAAATGTAGTAAGGAGAGATTTTATTCAAAGAGTTATTACAATAGAATGTTCCAACCACAAAATCTGCAAATGTTGCAAAAGTCAGACAGAAAAGAGCTTTTCTTCTCTACTGAGGGGTAAACAGTTTTTGAAAAATCCCCATATGTGGGAGTAGAGGAGCCTGTGGTATGACCTACTGTTTATCAGGGAATGTTTTACTCTTAATTAAGTCACCTACTCTTGGGAGCAGATGTGGCAGTGGTGTTGTTCTGAATTACAGTGGTTAACAGTGTTACTACATTCAGGGCCTTGGGAGTGGTAGGTTTCTGTAAAGTTTTATTAAGTCATGTTACCAAGCATTGTTCCCATTGATCAGTCAGGACGACCAATGTGGTAGTCAAAAGAATGGGAATTTGGAAGGTCTGCATTGGTCTTTTTTTAGGTAAACAAAGGGCCTGTCACAAGTCTTACTGAAATAAATGGGAAAGGATTGTTCTTTTTTTTTTTTTTTTAAGATTTCTTATTGGGGGGCCGGCCGAGTGGTGCGATGGTTAAGAACTGGCTTGGGACGCCAGTTCGGATCCCACATATGAGGGCCAGTGACACTGCCCTCTACAGCTAAGATACTGAACAACAGCTCAACCTGGAGCTGGGGTGCCATGATTCGCCGGCGACAGCATAGGCTGCAGCCCCTGTGGCAGTGGGTTGCCATGGGCTACCGTATGTAGCCAGCAGCCAGTGTGAGCGGCCAGCAGCCGCAGTGAGCGGCTGTCCAGAAACCGGCAACTGATCTTCCTCGCCTGGGAAGAGCACAATGATGGTGCCAACTTGGGCCAGTGAAGCAACATCCTCCACAACTAGACTGAAGAACAAAAGGACAGCAACTTGTCTGTTCCCCTTCCCCCAATTCCCCAGCACTGTTCCCATCCCCCCAATTCCCCAATTAAAAAAAAAATTTCTTATTGGGGTATTGGAGGAGTGGAACAGCATTGGGGGATCGGGGAAGGGGAACAGACAAGTTGCTGTCCTTTTGTTCTTAAGTCTAGTTGTGAAGGATGTAGCTTCACTGGCCCATGTTGGTATTATCCTTGCGCTCTTCCTGGGTGAGGCAGTCGCTCGCGGGCCATTGGACGGCCGCTCATGGTGGCTCATGAAAGCTCATGCCCACTGCCGGCCAGCCCCTCTGCCGCCTACCTGTCGCCGGCGACTCATGGTGGCCCAGCTCCAGGTCGAGCTGTTGTTCACCATCTTAGCTGTAGAGGGCGCAGCGTCAGTGACCCTCATGTGGGATCCGAACCAGGGCCCTGCTTCTCAGAGCTGGCGTCCCAAGCCAACTCTTAACCAACACGCCACTCGGTCAGCCCAGGAAGGATAGTTCTTTATGGACACCTGGGTGGCTTCTTCCTTTTGGCTATTGTGAATAATGTTGCTATGAACATGGGTGTACAAATATCTCTTTGAGTCTCTCTTTTTAGTTCTTTGGGGTATACACCCAGAAGTGATATTTTTGGATATGTTAATTCTATGTTTAACTTTTTGAGGACGCCCCCCTCCCCAACTAAGCTATTTGCCATATTAGCTGCACCATTTTACATTCCAACCAACAGTGAACAAGGTTTACAATTTTTCCACATCTTTGTAGACTCTTTGTTTTCTGATTTTTTGATAGTAGCCATCCTAATGGGTGTGAGGTGGTATCTCATTGTAAGATATTTTTAAAGAGTTCAGAGGACAGCTAGGAAATATGGCAAGTAAAATAAAATCCAACCAGGTATTGGGATATTCAGAGGCTGAAATATTCTGTATTAAGTGATCATCTCAGTTAGCTTGAGGAAAGACAGGAGTCAAGTGTGCACTCCCATGTTCTCTACTTGAGGAAATATATATATGGTAACACCATCACCATTTCCAGAACAGCAGAGGATGAGGGTGGGGGTGAATGACCAGAGTCTTTTGCTTATGCGCATTTTTCCTTAAGAAAAATACAAAGAATCAATACAATAGAATCAAAAAGGGAAAAACGGACAATTCCTCAATCACATAGATAGATTAGGATACAGTCCTATTTGTGATTGCTAGATTTAACGATCCAAAAAATTTTAATGAGTTTTAATAGATGGACAATATATTATACCAAAATATATATAGAAAGGACATTTGTTCAGCACCACTTGGTAGACCACAAAGTTTTAAAAACTAAAATATTTTGTAACAATACAATGTTTATCATCCATCAAATAATCATATTTGGAAAACTGTACATTCAGAAATTTAAAAATAGTAAAAACCTGAAAGACAATCACTGTTTGTTTTGATACTTAGAATTTATGTATATGAAAAGATAAGGAAGCTCTTGTATCAAACTTGTGGCATTTATTTAATGAAAAAGTATTCACAGTTAACAAGATAGCTGCAAATTCAAATATTAGAAGATTGCTGGACAGGCCAAGTCCTGCAGATCCAATTCAAGAATTTAAAAAAATATATAGTATAAATCCAACAAAAGGCACAAATGAAAATTATATTGAATATAATAAAAAGTAGAATAAAACTAAAGTGATATTGAAATGGATATAGTAGCCAAATCTTTTGAAATACTGATTTTAAAATGTGCAAAGACACATATGAATCCTAATAATAGTAGATAAGACTATTGATAGAGATTTCAAAACCTATAGAGATTATTATGAACATCTTTATCTTATTTAATTTTAAATTGAGAAGGAAAGAATAATTTCCACAAATACGTAACAGATTACTAAAACTTAAGAAGAATTAGAAATCAGAAAAACATAAATAACTTGAAAGCTGAAATATCCATCGACACTCCCTGATTACAGGAAACTTCCCCACTTTTTCAAGGTATTGGCAGTTCTTCTCATTTACAAACTTTTTTCAATACAGAAGAAAAGATACAAAAATATCTACTATTACTAGTATATTGCTCATATTAAGACATAAAAAGAAAGCAGTTTGACTCCTGAAGTTTGATGCACAATGAATCATTAAAATATATAACATGACTGAGATTTTATTCAAATAATGCCTGATATTTTAATATGCTGTGGTGTGATGAGAGCCTCTATCTCCGTTATTCTAATAGCTTCAGCAAAGCACTTGAAACATTTCAACACTCAGTTATATTTAAAATAGAAATCTGTGCTCAGCACTTAGAATCTGGAGGAAAGTTAATCTAATCTGTAGTATCCATCAACAATGAATATAGACCTTTAGGTTGATGATTATAAGTTAGGAGCACTTCTGTTAAGGTCAGGAATAAATTGAGAATTGACCCCTGTATATCACCACTTCTCCTTAGGAATATGTAGCAAGTCAGTCAGAAGTACTGGAAGCCCAGGACTGAGGACTAACATCTGAAGTGGGGGCAGTGTTGTGGGACTGAGTCTTTAATCTTTGGGATCTGTAGTTGATCCAAGTAGTTGGCTTCAGAATTGAACTGAATTGTAGGACGCCCAGTTGGTATCCGGAGAGCTGGAGAATTGGTTGGTGTCAGAAGTGTGAGTGAAACAGCTCACCCTATCATCATTAAAAATGATCGTAATGTGTTGGCAGCTAAATATAGATGAACAGAGGGAGGCAGAAAGATATGGCTAACAGTGGTTCTGAGGGATTTTTTTTTTTTTT